GGCTGGGGATGTGGCTCAGTGGTCGAGTGCCCCTGAATTCTATCCCTGGTACAAAAAAGAAGAAAGCAAGTAAGACAGACCAAAGTCCTTCACCAGGGATAATTTGAGATGCACTGCTTTAAATAATATGTTCATTTCCTTTCGGAGAGGAGGGGACCCATCTGCAGTGAGTTTCTTTTCCTCTTCAACAAGCTCTACAATGATGCAGGAGCCTTGCTATAACCTGATCAACGGAGCGGAGGCTGTCAGGGTCTGATCCCAAAGCTTTGCTTGCGGCCATGATTGAGGTAATTGCAATGGACTCCAGACCAATGAAGCACTCAGACAACCAGGGGGAGGGAACGAAAGATAAAGATGAACTTAGTATTTTGAGATAAGCAGGACATGATGTCAACTGGAACATAATACACGGAACCACATGGCCTGGAATTAAGTGGCATAATGAGATTTGTAGAGCACTCAATCATCTAAAAGCAATTTTATGTAAAGTATTTTATTTATTCCTTTAGAAAGTCAGTAGGGTAAGCAGAGCAGATATAATTTCTGTTTTCCAAATGAGTACACTGTGATTCAGAAAGGTTAACGATAAGCCAGTGTGACACTTAGCTGAGATACCAGTGTGACACTTAGCTGAGATAACACCAAATCCTAATGGGGTTTAATCTTCTGCCTACATCAGGGGTTCCTACCCCTCATGGGGTCCAAGCAGCCTTATGCAGTTGGCTACAATTGCAGACCTTTCTTCCTCTTCCACCCCACAGCTATGCAGACAGCAAAATTATATGGCAAATTTTAGGGGTCTCCTACACTGCTGTTTTCAACAGGAATGTGGTGTGGTGGCACACGCCTGTAATCCCAGTAACTCAGGAGGCCAAGGCAGGAGGATCACAAGTTGGAGGGAGCATCAGCAATTTAGCAAGGCCCTAAGCAACTTAGGGAAATCTTGTCTAGAAATAAAAAATAAGAGGGCTGAGGTGTGGCTCAGTGGCAGAGCACTTGCCTAGCATGTGTGAGGCACTGGGTTTGAGTCTCAGCACTTCATATGAATAAATAAATAAAATAAAGGTCCTCCTGCCTCAGCCTCCCAAACCACTGGTATTACAGGGGTACACCACCAAGCCAAGCTTCTCCAGTCATTTCCTACTTTTGACTCATCTGCAAGCCCACAGAGAATTCAGTCACCTGCAGTTTCAGAGAATTCAGGGTGGAGGAACATATCAGGGAAAAAGAAAGTGATACTTAGCCTAGGCCTTCCAGGAGATGCCAATCTGGCAAATTCAAAGACCCACATGCTGGACAAGATGGCGAGATGAAAAGGTTAATACAGAAGATTCTTGGGAAAGAAATTTGAAGAAGTAACAAATGACCAAGTGTTAAGAGTCTTGAACAAGAAGCTAAAGCATGTCAACCTACAATCTGTGAACTTTAGGGCACCATGTACAAAATGGCATTTTAAGATTACTCTGGCCAGTTGCAGTGGCACCAACCTGTAATCCCAGGGACTCAAAGGCTGAGGCAGGAGGATCGTGAGTTCAAACCCAGCCTCAGCAACTTAGGGAGGACCTAAGCAACTCAGCAAGATCCTGTCTCTAAATAAAATACAAAAAAAAAAAAAAAAAAAAGGATGGGGATGTGGCTCTGTAGTTAAGCACCCCTGGTTCAATCCCTGGTACCAAGAAAAAGAAAAGATTACTCTGAGAGTGGTGTGGTTTGAAAGGAAGGATTGGAAACAAGAAATGCAATTCAACAGAGCAGAAATGAAACATGCCTGGAAGAAAAGTTGACAGGCAAGATGGCTAAGGACACTCCGAGGAGATGGTGAGCTTATGAGCCTTGGGCTGCTCGCCTGGAGAGCAGAAACGAGACGTGCAGGTATCAAGCTCACACCTGGCAAGGCCACCTCCTGACCAGGTGAATCAGTGAGGTTACAAGGAGCCACTTTCAAACTTTGATCATGTATTAAAGCAAAGAGAATAATTTAGGTAATTTACAGATTGCAAAAAGAATAAGCCAAAGATGCTAGGTCCCTGTGACTTTTGTCTCACCCACCAAGAAGTCCACTACCACAACTAAGAGGCCCAGTGCATGCAGTGTCTCAGGATAGCTCCCTGCTCGACAGAAGGTGGCCCCATAGCAGCTCCCTCCATGTCCATGAAGATCACAAGGCGTTCTGCCAAGACTCAGATAAACCACTGTTCAAGACATTGCCTAAGCAGATATGAGCAAGGTCACTGTGACACCATCACAGAGCCATGCCCCCACACAGGATGGCACCTTTTTGAGACCAGATCTCGCTAAGCCACTAAGGCTGGCCTCCAACTTGCTATCTTCCTGCCTCCCCCTCCTGAGTACCTGACTTGATTTTCTTTCTAGCCCTTTCTCCCAATTAACATTGATCTATGTGCCATCTGTTCCCTCTATAGAATGCACAGCCCACCAAGGCTGGGATCAGGGTGTGTGTTTCCACTGCTGCATCCCCAGCAGGAGAACGATGCCTGGTGTCTAGTCAGTCCTCAAGATGAATTTCCTGCATGAATAAGTCAATGGCAGCCCTTGGAACAACTGTAGCCTTGTACAGGGGACCTGCAGAGGCATGTGGGGGTAGGGGAGAAATGTCCTAAAGAGGGAAGCCCCGAATGACCAGTGACTCAGGAGGGCCGTTCTTGGACGACACCTGTTCAGCAAGTCAGTCTCTGCTGATCAGTTCTGCTTTGTTAAGGAATGTGGGGGTGTAACTAGCAGCCTGGGAAGCAAGTGTCCAGTGGGAAGGAACAGATCAAAGATGCAAAAGTGAGGTGATAGCTGTGGATTAGAACCCAGCGCTGGGTTCAGTCCCCAGCTTGCATCAAGGCCGGGAGTTATCAATTCCCATATCCTCCCCTTTTCCCAGCATACAGGCTGCTGGTTCCTAAAAGTGGGCAGCAGTGCCTGCTATAGCTACTTACTCTTTGGCTACCTTCCAGATGGGTGACAGATAAGAGGGCACTGCATGTCACTGTTAGAATGTTTTTTTTGGTACCGGGAATTAAACTCAGGGACACTCAACCACTGAGCTGCACCCCCAGTCCTATTTTGTATTTTATTTAGAGACAGCGTCTCACTGAGTTGCTTAGTGATTTGCTTTTGCAGAGGTTGGCTTTGAACTCACAATCCTCCTATCTCAGCCTCCTGAGCTGCTGGGATTACGGGCGTGCACCACCGTGCCTAGTGTTAGAATGTTTTAAGGAAATCTGGCTTGATACACTACAATGAATCCCGTTTGTATGTATAATTACAATGCACTAATTGAAATAATAATAATAATAATAGAAGGGAGATCAGCAGAGCAAGCAGATGGAAGAGGGGGAGAGGGAAAGAAAAGGTCCTGCAGAATGAGATTGATGGAATTATGTATGTTATGTGCATGTAAGAAGGCAGCATGACCAATCTCACTATTATGTATAATTAAAGGCAGCAATAAAAAAAAATTTAAAAAGAAACCTAACTTGAGGCATATTAAACAGGTAGACATAAAAAGTAGTTGTTTCACCTCGCATAGGAGCGCATACCTATACTCCCTGAGACTTAGGAGGTTGAAGCAGGAGGATCACAAGATCAAGGTCAGCCTAGAAAACTTAGAGACCTTGGGTAACTTCTGAAACATAAAATGGACTGGAGGTGTAGCTTAGGGAAAGAGTGTTCCTGGGTTCCCCTGTGTGTGTGTGTGTGTGTGTGTGCGCGCGTGCGCGTGTGCACATATATATCTATTAATAACCCTGCATTATTAATTACCTTTATTGGACAACCAGATGCAATATTCCTAGAAGTGTTTAAAGCAAAAAACTAAATTTTTTTTTTTTTTTATTATGGTGCTGGTGTAACAATGGTCCACTTTATGCTTTGACTATAGCCCTTGCTGCTTGGCCACTGCAACTTATTTTTTAAATGGACATGTTTCTTTCTCTTCCTCTCTTCCTGCCCTCCCTAATTTCTCCCCTTCTCTAATCTCAGGGGAAACAGGATTACTTTTCTTTCCCATTTTAGGCAGATTTACCTGTCCTTGAGTACACACACAACATAGAACCTAAGTAATCCAGATTTGGGGGATGGCACCAGAAGATCTCAGAAAAGAAATGACTATCCCCAAATTAGCAAGTGAATGACAACTCCAACAGAGAACACGTGAATGTAGCCTTCTAGTCACCTCTTTAAAAGCCTCCGTTCTTGCTGATGGGCAGAATCACAGCCTCTAGGATGGGAGTCCTCTGTGTTTCTCCTTTGCTAGCAAAGTAATAAAACTTATTTTTCCTTTTTCTCAAAATCATGTCCTCATTATTAGATTGGCATCAGGGACAAGGTAACAAATTTGGCACCCTAGATGGGACCCAAGAGCAGCCCCCACTCCAGCTTTCTTGGGCAGACCTGGCTCTCCAAAGAACCCCACTTTCATGCCTGGCTCTCCAAAGAACCCCACTTTCATGCTGGGATGCAAGATGCTAACGAACTTGTTGAGAGCCAACTGCTAGAGCGTTAGGAGATGGGTGAGTTTGCTATGGGTTGAACCAGAGGAGCAGTTCCTGTGAGCAAAGGGAGGGACTGAGGGACCCTCCCAGCAGCTGCCAAAGCTCCTTTGGCTTCGGAGAACTTCTGCTTTCTCTCCCATTGTGGTCCACTTTGAGAAAAAGGAAACTGAACTCAGTAAAGTCACAACACCCTTGGCCATCTGGTAAGTCCCCCATGTGCACGCCAAGACCTTTGATTTTACACACCTGTTTCCTCTTCATGGGAACATCTGGTCCCTGTTTGTGGGGACACCTGTGGCACCACTGGTGTAGGAGTCCTGGTTAAGCAGGATATTTACTCCCTTCAGATCTATTCTAGGTTCTCATCTGTTTGTTGGCCTTGGGTTTGGGAACTCCCTCCGGTTGACTGTGTTTTCGTTTTGTTTATATCTGTTATTACCTCCTTTTAAAACATAGCCAATACTGCACTTATCCCATCTGTCAGCCATGGTTTGGGGGTCCTCTCTGTGGTGGTCTCTCTGTTTTTCTTTTTTGAACAGTCTTACAACTGGAGTTGGTCTGTCAGAGGTAAAGTGAGTTGAAGAAAGGACCACCTACAGGATAAGCCTGTCTAAGATAATGTTTTACTGTAACCATCTGGCTTTTGAATTGCTTTCTGGATTATTATACAATCTTGCTGTTGGAGTTGGTATGTCCAAAGTCAAGTAAGTGGAAGAAATTTGTACCTGCAGGTGTGTCTGTTTTAAAGTTTCCCATATGTCAGCCCTGGCTTCAGTGATTCTCTCCTGTTTTTTTTTTTTTTTTTGTTTGTTTGTTTGTTTGTTTTGTTTTGTTTTGTTGTTTGTTTTGTTTGTTTTTGGGGGTACCGGGGATTGAACTCAGGGGCCCTTGACCATTGAGCCACATCCCCAGCCCTATTTTGTATTTTATTTAGAGACAGGGTCTCACTGAGTTGCTTAGTACCTTGCTTTTTGCTGAGGCTGGCTTTGAACTTGCAATCCTCCTGCCTCGGCCTCCCAAACCGCTGGGATTACAGGCATGTCATATATTAAAGTCATAAGTGATTACTTTGTAACTAGTTAAACAAATAACTGTTACTTAGGTTATAACAAAATATAGTTGATACCCTAAATATATGTGACTAGGTATATGTATGCATTTGAAAACTATATCTAAGTCTTATATAAGTGTTATATAAAAGTTTATAAAATGAAATTTTATGTAAGATTACTGACAAGATAACCAATAAGTACTCTCTTTTGTACATTGTATCTGACATACAAGGGCCACACTGTCACTTGAAGACCTGTGTTGTTTGCTTTGACAAAGTCAATTTCTGATCCTTAACACTGTTTCCTGAATGTAGAAGAGATTTAAGGTGATCCTTTGATTTCTGCTAGTACTCTAACCCATGCAGACCTGTGATTATTGCTACTGTACACTCTGGATTCTAAATTGTACTTTTAAAGTTAAACTTAGTTAAATGTAAAGCTTAGGAGACCACTTTACCAAGCTTGTTCTCCAAACTAAAATTATCTGTAGCAATAGTCTCAGATTTGTATAGAAATAACAAATTTGGTTGGCATATATTCATGTCATTTGATGTTTTATAGCTGAATAAAGTAACCTGTTTTCAGTAAGCTATAGATGCAAATTTGTGGTACTCTCCACACTGCAATTGGAATTTAAATGAGTTTTTGAAAGATAATAAGGAGAGTCTGATCTCTTTAAAGGTGACATTGTGCAACATGGAATCATTCTGCCACTTTTTCCACAAAAAGAAAGTTAAAAGCTCTCTTAGCCTAACTTTGATTCATGTTCCAGATGTAATGTTGTATTGTACTATCTGTGAAGAGCCTCCACCTTATCTGAGATAAGGCTCTGCCTCCCACCTCACTCCATGTTAGAATGGCTCCAAAATAGGCTAGACTTCAGCTCATTTAAAGTTGTGTTCAAAAGATTGATTTTTGTTGTAAAGATGACTGTGACCTCAAACAGGGGGTAAGTAAAGGTTTAAGATTATAAAAATCATTTTTCGTGGTTCATAGCTATTAAACTGATTTTTTTGCTCTGTTAATTTCATTTTGTATTTTCCTTGTAAACTTTATAACTGTTACCTGTGTTTCTTTAATTTATTCTAATTTGTTATATATGGCAATAGAATGCATTTGATTCATATTACACATATATAGCACAATTTTTCATATCTCTGGTTGTACACAAAGTAGTCACACCATTCGTGTCTTCGTACATGTACTTAGGGTAATTATGTCTATCTCATTCCACTGCTTTTCCTACCACCATGCCCCCCCTCCCTTTCCCTCCCTCCCCTTTACCATAACTAGAGTTCCTCCATTCCTCCCAGGCTCCCCCTCCCAACCACACTATGAATCAACCTCCTTATACCAGAGAAAACATTCAGCATTTGGTTTTTTGGGATTGGCTAACTTCATTTAGCATTATATTCTCCAACTCCATCCATTTACCTGCAAATGGCATGATTTTATTCTCTTTTATTGCTGAGTAATATTCCATTGTGTATATATACCACATTTACTTTATCCTTTCATCTACTGAAGGGCATCTAGATTGGTTCCACAGTTTAGCTATTGTGAATTGTGCTGCTATAAACATTGATGTGTCTGTGTCCCTGTAGTGTGCTGTTTTTAAGTCCTTTGGGTATAGACTGAGGAGAGGGATAGCTGGGTTAAATGGTGGTTCCATTCCCAGTTTTCCAAGGAATCTCCATACCACTTTTGGGGCTGTAGCTCAGTGGTAGAGCGCTTGCCTAGCATGTGTGAGGCACTAGGTTCAATCCTCAGCACCGCATTAAATATATATATAAAATAAAGGTATTGTGTCCATCTACAAAAAAAATCCATACTGCTTTCCATATTGGCTATACCAATTTGCAGTGCCCATTAGTGTTTTGCAGAGGTACTACTTCTGAAAAAACAACCTGGGTTAATTTGAGATTATAAGCCATCACCTACAGAACAGATATTATATAATGCTGACTTCCAGTACTAATACTAACCCCAATTATGAAAGGGGCAACTGTAAAATTATAGAAATTGAAGTTATAACCTTTTACTTCCTCTCTCTTTTTTTTTTTTTTTTTTTTTAGTTGCTGGGGATTAAGCCCAGGTCCTTGTGTATGCAAGGCAAGCACTCTACCAGCTGAGCCAAATCCCCAGCCCCTGTTACCCCCTCTTTAAGATTGGTGAAACTGGCTTGCTGGGAGTTTAAAACCAAAAACTCGAAGACCAAAGTCAAGGAAGTAAAAGGGCCAAGAAAAAGCATCCAACATTTTGGCCCTTTTCCTCTAAGGTCAGCCAGGATGCAGAGAATGACGGGACCCCTCTCTGGGCCCTGAAATTCTGATGAGATACCCAATCTGCTGATCAGGGAGATTGAGAGGACCCTAGATAACAGGAAACTAACCAATGCACATTCTGCAAAGAGGAGGGTCACTGGAGACAGAATTGTCCCTGATGCTTCCAAGAGAAGCCACATATGGTCATCAGGACTCTGACCCATCCTGGCAGATGGCACCCCTGGTAGCAGAAAGCTAAAGAGGATTCACATACAACCACAAGAGTGATCTCTAAGGAATTTCAGCTGACTATTAAGAGTAGATAGGAACAAGGTCAGTTTTGACCAACTTGGTCTTAAACACCTGGCAGGATAGTATAGCCTAAGCACAGTCCTACATGGACATTTAAAATGAAAAACTACAAAAAAAAAAAAAAAGGAAAAACAATGCTTTTTTTTTTTTTTATGTAACTTAAGATGTACTCTTGTGTCAATCTAACCCGAAATAAATAAAGCTAGAGTCTACAAAGGAAGGATTCTTGTGTGGGAGTGCCTATTAATAATGATCCACAAAGGACTCTAGAATTGCAAGTTTGTCCTGAGTTAATTTGAGCCTGCTCTCATAGACCTACAAATCTTCCTAAGCTTCCATATGGATAAAATTGATCTATTTTTCACTGATATAATTATGAGTTACTGTCTTTCTGGTTTTCACGGACTGGCTGAAATACTAATTGCTTTTGTGCTAATTGTTTACCAAAAAAAAAAAAAAAAAGTAATGCTTTGCTATCTTGTTTATTGATACCTGCCCTATGTATGCCTTGTCCAGACACCTGCCATCTGCCACTGTGGACCTCTGGGCTGTTCTGATGCTGAATGCCCTGAACTGTCCATGCCCCACCTGATAGAGAATAAATAGAGAATCCACCTGATAGGACTTTGGGTTACTTCCCCCAACTTTACCCTCTTTCACCAGGAAGAGACACCCAATTTTCCATAGAAATAGAATGTAGAAATTGACAGTGTGGAAAAGTAACCATGGTCCACTTTATGCTTTGACTATAAATAGCCCTTGCTGCTCTGCCACAGCAACTTAATTTTGATGGACATGTTTCTTTCTATTCCTCTCTCCCTGCTCCTCCCTAATTTCTCCCATCCATAATCTCAGGGGAAACAGATTACCTTTCTTCCCCATCCTGGGCAGAGTTATCTGTCCTTAGAACACACTCACTATAAAAATTCAGTAATCTAGACTTTGGGGATGGTACCAGAAGATCTCAGAAATGACTATCTCTCAAATTAACAGGTGAATGACAACTCCAACAGAGAACAAGTGGAAGGTAGCCTTTGAGTCACCTCTTTAAAAGCCCCCTGTTCCTGCTGATGGGCAGAATCACAGCCTCTGGTATGAGAGTTCTCCTTTGCTAGCAAAACAATAAACCTTCTTTTTCCTTTTTGTCAAAACCATGTCCTCATTATTGGATTGGCATCAGGGACAAGAACCAAGCTTTCGGTGACACTGGGAATTGAACCTAGGGGCACTTTGCCACTGAGCTATACCCCAAGCCCTTTTAAAATTTTTGAGATAGGGTCCCACCAAGCTGCTAAGGCTGGCCTCAAACTTGTAATCCTCCTGCCTGAGCCTCCAGAATCACTAGAACTACAGACATGAGTTACTGTGCCTGGCCAGAAACTCAATTCTTTTTTATTTTTTTTTCTTTTTGGTACTCGGGGGGCACTCGATCACTGAGCCACATCCCCAGCCCTATTTTGTATTTCATTTAGAGATAGGGTATCACTGAGTTGCTTAGCACCTCCCTTTTGCTGAAGATGGTTTTGAACTCGCAATCCTCCTGCCTTAGCCTCCTGAAGTGCTGGGATTACAGGCATGCGCCACGGCGCCTGGCTCAGAAACTAAATTCTTAAAGTGCTGAACAAAATCAATGCTATTCCCATTTTAAAAAGCCCTTGCTGCTTATTTGTAAGAAACGGCTATCATTATTACTTCTTCCTACAATACAAGGCCAAGAGCAATTTGTACTATTTCCTTTTTGGATATTTCTAGAAATATAAACCTAAATTTTACTAATAATGTAGGATGTGCCAACTATCATTAGTCAAAAATATATATTGGGGATAAATCGTATGAAATATAAATAGAGAACTTCTGTGTGTGGTGATTGCTGCACAACTTTGAACTTTGCCCTATTCCTAGGGTCCCATCTGCTGGGTGGGGCTGTTTGTGTGCTTTCCCTTTCGGATTCCTAATGACTCAGAACAAAACGACATTTTTTTCCTCCCTGGTGCTGATGATTGAACCCAGACAGGAAAAAAAAAGAAAAAATTGAGCCCTCCTGCCTCAGCCTCCCAAGTCGCTGGCATGACAGGC